TTTTTCTGTGACAGTGGGTGTGTCCGACTCCTTTACTCTACTTCTGGACTCCTTGGGAGCAGTTTAACTTGACGGTGTCGCTTGAAGCTAAAACCCTAAACCCTAGCTTGGTTGCACTCCGCTGATGGAACTTTTCCTGATGGTTGTTTCGTGACTGTGTCTACTGTTGATGCGGGGTCTGCTTGAATTCTGCGGCCTATTCTCTGTTTGGGGTTGGAGTATTAGGAGGTGGGTTGGTAGGGTTGGGAGTTCTGGATCGGTGGTGGTTGCGGGGTAGCTGCGGTGCGAGGGAGTGGGAAGGGGAAGGGGGATGTGTGAGTAAGTATGTGTTTGCTCGGATGTTTGGGGGATTGGGGGGGGCGGGGAGTGGAAGGAAATGTGTAGAGGAGGAGGTGGCAATGAGGTTGCTGTTGTGGAGGTGGTTGGGTGTTACGAGGTCGGTTTGATAACGGTGATGGCTGAGATAGAGTGGATGATGGGTGTATCGGTATTATTGTTGTGTATCTCTAGTTTTTGGGGGTGGGTCTGTCCTTTTTTATTGGGCCAAGCTGTCCTTTTCCCGTTTTACTCCTATTATTATTATTAGGATCTATTCTTATCTTCTGGGGTCTGACTTGGTGTCTGTTCGACTAGAAACCTTGTGCGAGAGAGTGGCATCTACCAGTATGGGTCTGGTTTTAGCGTGTAGGTTAAGCTCTAATTTCTGTTACCTCCTAATTAAGGGGTCTGCTTTCTTGTATTACCTGTTTTCTTCTTTGCGTTTTCTGTTTCTGAAGGTTGATTTCTTTTCCTGGCTCGGACGGTTGGTTTTTAGATAGCATTTCTCAAGTTCCTGTATTCGAGCGACCTTCTTGGGTTCCAAGTGTTCTTCGGTTTTGTGTGAGGTTTCTTCCTGTCGTTCCTCCGTGTCCTGCTGCTCTGTGTCCCACTTACGGAACTTCAGGTGTCTTTCCTTTATTTCTGCTATTTTCTTACTTAATAGCCATTTTTTCTTCGAACGCCTTCAGACTCTGCTCTCTCTTTTGCGGATCCGTTAACCTTTCTTGTTTCCTGAGTTCTATTTTCCATCGTGCTATAATTTCAGTTTCTACTATTACTTTTGTCTCTCTCCATTCCTCGTCGCTTGTTATTCTTTGGTCCCCTCGAGTTCCCTTGCATCTGGTTTTCCATATGACCCATGGTGCCGCTCTTCTCAATACGTCCGCTATAGTTTTCTCCTCTTCTGACAGATTTCCTTCCCTGTCTCTTGCTGATAGTAGGTAGTTGGTTTGTTCTGGGTACGTTTTTTTTTTTTTTTTTTTTTTTTTTTTTTTTTTTTAAAGCAGGCTTACCTGTATGACCCCTCCGTGGCCCAAAACAAATAATTGAATATCGTGTGGCCCTTTGGACCCCCCGGATCAGATATTAAACTGATCAGAACAGATACTACACTTGATCTTAGCCAAAACCACCCGGTACGGATTTGAGGAAATGTTGGACCTGGTCGCTTTGACTGATCCCCATAGGGTGGTTGCATGTGCACACTCTACCAAGCAATGGATGAGCGACTCTTTCTTTTTTTTTTTTGGAAGATATTAGGAAACAGACTGACGCCTGCCAGCATTGATTGCTCTTGGAGTCCAGAGGATTGACTGAGCAGGTTACCTGGGGGGGGGAGGACCTCTTCACCCTGTATCAGGCGCCAGATACCTACAATTCCGCTCAAGTTCCTCCCTCTCCCAGTCATGCGACCAACCTCTTCTTCCTTCTTGCCGCATGGCTTGACCAGGGTTAGAAAGAGAGTCACCGGGGGCCACCGGTGTGCTCTTCTTCTCTTGAGCGACTCTACTTTGTTGTCCCTGCACATTTTGCAGTGAGAGGAATGTTCTGTCCTCTGATCTTCTCTTCTGCGTGAGTCCAGCCATTCATTGACTGGGACCGCCCAATAGAGAATCAGCCATTGTAGGCTTCTGAATCTAGGGGGCTTTAGGCTGCTGTAATAATCCCATGGAATTTCGCATGGCCATACATGTTTTTCTCCTAGATGTTTGGTCCATCTTCTTGACACGACAGGGCGTGCGTCCTCTGTCTTGTTCCTTATTTTGTAGCCTAACTTTGCTTCATAGTCTTGTAGATTGATTAGTTTTCTTGCTCTTCCTCTGCCAAGTTTAATGAACCATCCGCACTCCCATGGGTCCACTTCCAACTCACTGATATCCTTGTTTGGTCCACTTCCAACCCACTTCCCACTCAGATAACAGATCCAGCGGTAGGTGCTTCTACACGAGCTTCAGGTAACCAACTATGAACTGAATGCACCAGAAACAAAGTACTGCCAGCCGCTCTAGAGGTGTACCATACCATAGACTCTCTACACCTCACTTCTTCCTCCTATGCAGGCCGGTGGCTAAGGCGGACCATCAGAGTACACCTCGGATGCTCAAAGGGCAATGCAAAGCAGCTATGCTTCTCCCACCATGTCCGCCATGCCTTGCTACTCCCCAGGAGTGGTCCTTGCAGATGCCAACCCCCAACTGGGGCCCTCCAGGTGCAGTGCCTGCGAAGAAGATGAAGATGCAGACCACCATAGCCAGGGAAGCTCCTCCATCACTCTCCTCCTTGCTCACCATCTTCCTCCTCCTCCTACTACTTTCCCGCGGTGCTCCTCCTTGGTCCCTCCCCCCCGGTAGCCGAGGTGGAAGGCCAGGGTCGTCTTATTCCTCACCCAGCACTGCTTCATCTGGGTCACTCAGCGCTGCTTCATCTGGGTGCCCGCACCAGCGGCGTGCCTCCAAACTGCACGCCTGCACATGAGGCAGAGCACTTCCAGCTTGGTATACCGGCGTAGTGCCTCCCCGCGCGGTTGCTTCTAGGGCGCGTGGCCTCCGTCCACCCGGTCGGTACTGCTGCATTTCGGAGGGAACATCATTGCAGTCTGATATTCCCCTCCACAGGCTGTAGGCTCACTTCTGGAGCGACCCTCTAAGCCATCCGAGCTTCGAAAACCTATGTCGCCCTCTAACGGTACTACCTTTTTGTCTTTTTCTGCCTAGCTACGCTACTTGATTGTCTTCGACCTACGCAGGCCTACCCTACTCTAGTACCCTGCTGCACCCACACAACACCACGCCCACAGGTAAGTACCAGGCCCGTAGGCATCCCCAGCACACGAGTACCCAGCAGGTTACACACACGCATGCAATCATGCAGGCAGGCAAACACACGGAAACTCAGCATTCAGGCACACACAGTTGAATATGAGAATCTCAGCAAATCAGTCAAACAAGCGGGAAAACTCAGAAAACAGCAGATTTTTCAGTCTGCGATTTTACAGGTCATTACGCATCACTCCCATATTTCTTTCGGTTTTCCTTAAAAATTTCCCTAAGACTGCTCGTCCTCCAAATCTGAACGAGCTTCTTTGCATCTTATAAGCCTCCGGAGAGTGTCCGCCTGCTAGCAACTGCTACAGAGTGCAGGTCTCTTCATTTCTGCTGTAAAGAGACCTTGCTAGTGCAGACGCAGACCTTGCCCCCATGTGTCCAACCGCCTCTATTCCACAATCTCTCAAAGTGCTCCCTCAGGGCCCAGTCTTCATTCACTTCAGACTGACAAAATGATTGCCACAGACAGGCCACACTGCTACCATCCAAAGGCCCCTACCTTCTTTTTTTTTTTTTCTTTTTTTTTCTTTTTTCTTTTTTTTTTAACCCCCTGTGTAAGCTCTCTATCCCCACGGTGGTAAGAGAACCGTCAGAATTGAGGGCTTATCTGCCGGGCTACTCCTTCTATTGGTGGAGCAACACCTGCTGGAAACCGGGTCCAGCATCCCATTGATACATCTTTTTTTTTTTCTTTTTTTTTTCTTTTTTTTTTTTGTTTGTTTGTTTGGGCAAGTACACTGTTTATTGAAGAAGTAGACGATTTCTTATTTACTTTTTTTTTTTTTTTTTTTTTTTCCCTTGTAGAACTCGAGGATGAATTATTCTCAGGAACAACACTCATGGTCGTCTGCTTTGTGGTTTCCACTGTGTGATTTTTTTTAATTTTTTATTTTCCTCTCTCTTTTTCTCGATTTTGCTCACTCCTGTGGCCTTTGCTTTTCTCCATTTCTTTTGCCATGTGGTTGTCGTATTCGGCTGTTTTCTATGAAAAAAAACAAATCCAGTCGGTTGGAAATGCGGGCAGTGTAGCGAAATTAGGGAAGGAAGTGGATGAGCATATGGACAGAGCTCGGGAGCTTGCAAAATACGCATTCACAGGTGTGAATGCGAGTCGCCGTCAGATCGACACAGGTGAGATGGGTGCATAAGGGTTTGGAGGTTATCTGCCTACGGTTTACTGGGCCGCTCTGTTTGACAATATATATATCGTCACAAATAGAACTGCCCGGTAAACCGTAGGCAGAGAGAGAGAAGAGGACAACAAACGAGGGGCTGTGACAAACTGTTTCGTCGGAGTTTCACCGACTCATCAGGAGGCTGAACCCTCAGCAGTCTGCAGAATCCCGTCACTGATTACACTGTAAATGATAATCTACCTTAACCAAAATCAAAGTAGACTATCACTCACCCACACCAGATGGAAAACTCTACAGACTGTCGGTTCACACCCCATCACAAGCCAGCAAAACATCCACGAAACANTCTTTTTTTTTTTCTTTTTTTTTTCTTTTTTTTTTTTGTTTGTTTGTTTGGGCAGACGAGTTTTTTTTTCTTTTTTTCTTTTTTCTTAACACATGCAGCCTAATGTCGTATGATCCAGGCACTCCGGCCTGGTTCATACGGCGGCTGCTTTAGAACTATAAAAGCCGGAAACCGGGTCCGGCGTCCCTCACATCATTGAAAAGGCTCAACAAAACGAACATGAGAAAACAAAATCCTCCATCCGCTGTTAATGACAACACCTTATAGGATCAACCTGTAGTGACTATACTCTAGCAGGCAGAACTACCCAGTAACCTAAGATGATTGCCTACACGTCACACAGAGCAAATGAGAATGTCTGAGAACAGTGACCCTGAGGCGTGCCACCATTGATTGCCCTGTGACCCAGGGGATTGACTGAGCAGGCCTATACCGCTATCCCCATCTCAACCAAAGCTATTTATTTTTTGAAACATCTCCCGATTACGCTGGCTGTTGAAAAAAGGGAGAAACCTCTTCGCCCTGTATTCAGCGCCAGATATCAACTGCTGAGGGGCTAGTTTCTTCCTCTCCCAACTACCTTTCACCCAAGAAGATTTACCACTCATTTATCTGTCTCTTAACCGTTAAAGTTTAAACCCTTAAGCTCTTTCCCCACATGTACCTCAGTCCTTCTGTCCCGGGCCCAACTACATTTCACCCAAGACGATTTACGACCCCAATTAGCTGTCTCTTAAACCTTAAAAACCTTTCCTAGCTGAACCTCAGTCATTCTGTCCCGGGATAGCCCCCGTTCCTTCCCATCTTTCTCCCCCGTACCAGTCTATTCCTACTAGGCTATTTGCAGGGGAGGGGAAGAAGTCCGGGAATTCATCACATGGTCGCATTGGGATTGAGCCATCTAGCGTGGTTCAGTCATAGACGATGAGTCGGCACTCGTTGCCCTGCATCCTCCCTTGTCCTCTTCCTTCCCCATTCCATTCCACCTTTCTTATCTTCCCCCCTACCAACCCACAGAGGTCACTCTTCACAACCGCGGTTGCTCTTTGAAACAACTTGGTGATGGAATGGAAACCACCTCTTTCTGGGGAACAGCTGCCAGCAACGAAGCTTGACTGCTAATCACTGCCGCCAACGGAATGCAACCCCCACCACCCATTTGCAGATGAAGGTCCCGATAACGGCGATAAGGTACATATGTATAAAAGCCATAGTGGTGTTTCCAAGATTCGATCACTCTGCCACCCACCTGGAGCAGACAGACAATCACATAAATCCAACAATGGGAACATTTTTTGGTTATTTGCTATATCAACAGACACATGGCTCAAAATTATGTCTTTCTATCCATCTTCCTGTCTCCCTGCTTGTGGGTCACGGACGGAGGAAGTAAGAAAGTTGAGGAGAAGTGAAACAAGGACATAGGGATGGGGGAGTTGAGATGGAAATAGGGATGGAAGTGAATCAATGATGAAACTGAAGCAATGAACAAAGGATGGAAGTAGGGGAACGAACGAGCAAGTAAGGATGGAAGGAACGAGGGAAGTAGGAAAGAAAGTGAGGGAAGCAAGGATGGCACAATGAAATAAGGATGGAAGTAACGATGGAAGCAAGGCTGGAAGCGCGGATGGAAGCAAGGATGGAAACCAGGATGGAAGCAAGGATGGAAACCAGGATGACACCAAAGATGTCAGAAGGGGTGTAAGCACGGAAGTAAGGAGAGACACAAGAATGGAAGTCATGCAAGGAAGTACGGATGGACGTAAGGTGGATACGGAAGTAAGGATGGAAAGGAAGGTGGATACGGAAGTAAGGATGGAAAGGAAGGTGGATACGGAAGCAAGGAAGGAAGCTGTGTAGCACACTGAACGTCTTCAGCGCTTTCGCGAATGCCCAAACACATTGGGGTGTTCGGCCAAATGCCTCCCGAACGTGTTCGATCGAACACTCTTTATTTTAATGATTTTTGTTTTTTAGGTTTTCTATTTTTAACTCGCATTAGGCTAAGAATTTGAACATGCCACCCAGGCAAAAGTTGTTTGTAATATTATTTTACATAGCGCATATTTTTTTCAGAATTTTCCGAGATTTTTTTTTTTTTTTTTAATGTTTTTACGTTCGCATTCGGAGGGTTTTGGCGCTTGTTTGTGTTTGGTCACAAACCTTTGGGTTCGGTCATTGAAGGCAAACACGACGCTACGCAGAATGGAAGTAAGGTTGGATATGGAAGTAAGGATGGATATGGATGGAAGGATAGGAGTGAGGTTCAGGAAGGGACGAGAGAAAATGGAAATAAGGATGGAAGCAAGGATGGAAGTGGCGAAAGGACGATAGCAAGGAAGGAAAGACGAAAATATGGAAAGAAATGTAAGGACCTGCAAAAACACAGACTGAGAAGACTGCTGAATTCTGAGTTTCGCCGCCGGAACGAGTGCTTTGCTGAGATTCTCGCTTTTTGGTGCGAAAGAAAATGGAAATAAGGATGGACTGCAAAAACACAGACGGAGAAGCCTGCTGAATTCTGAGTTTTGCCGCCGGAATGAGTGATTTGCTCAGATACCCGCTTTTCGCTGAGTTTTCTAAGTCCATGTGTGTGCGTACTTGCTGGTCCTCGTGCCTGTCTGAGTGTATGTCTACCTAAGTGTGTGTGTGACCCGCCAAGGGTACTTGTGAACGGGAGGCCATTGGGCCGGTACTTACCTGTGGCCGTGACTGTCAGGGTTGCAGTGGGGAAAAAACACTCAAGTGGCCGAAAGGGTAGCTTAGGGCACACTCAGGTAGCGGTAGTGTCGGTTCTGGTAGCACTTTAGTGGTAGGCCGAGCAAAAGAAGACAAAAGGTTACTACCTCTAGGGGTAGAGGTCCGGTAGGTAGAGTCTAGGGCCTGTAGCAGTACATATCAGGTCCGCAATGATGTTTCCCTTCGACAGGGAGGAGGTACCGGTTGTTTGGAGTCCGTGCGACCTGGAAGTGACCCCCCAAGAGGCTGGTTGGCCACTGTATCTCCAGGCAGAGCGTTTGGCTCTGCATCATCTGCTGCGTGCAAGTTTGGGCATCACGCTGCTGGAGCGTTTGGTAGAGGTGCGCTTTGTGGAGCACTGAGGAAGAGGAGCGCCCAGTCATCCACCTTCGGCTATGGTGGAAGGGACTGGGTAGGAGGAGGAAGAAGGGGGCTGGGAAGGAGAGCGGCCCGGGGTACTTACCTGGCTATGGTGGACGCCATCTTCGTCTCCTTGGTAGGCGCTGCATCTGGAAGTCCCCAAGTGGGCTGACGCTGCATCAAGAAGGCTTCAAGGCAGAGTCAGGCATGGCGGCCTGCGGTGTAACAGACATAGCTGCTTTTGCATTGTCTTTGAACATTGAGGCAAGGCCCCTAATAGTCCGCCATAGCCAGTACCTGTCGGAGGTGGGAGGTCATGGCTATGGTGGACCTCATATTGTGCTGGCAGTGGGAGAGGGATTCGGACATTGGTTCTGGTTCAGCCATTCATTGAAAGGATTTCACACTGCAGACCCCCGGAAGCCGGTTCCCAATCCCCAAAAGTCCAGAAGGTTCTGAAATCCCAAGTCCCAGCATCGGGAGGGGTAGGTCCAATAGGCCTGTAAATTGTCGTAGGTCCGATAGGCCTGTAAATTGTCATAGGTCCGATAGGCCAGCGAACGCCATAGGCCCGGACCAGGAAACATCTGGAAGAGCCAGGTTGGGGGTCGAGGGCCTAGTAGGGGCTAAGTCATGTACAGCCTGTCCGGTACCCCACAGAGAAATCTGGAAAGTCCAAGTCCAGTCCTGAAGTCCACAAAATCGCAGCAAGTCCCAGGAAAGCCCAGAAGATTCCGGACCAAAAAAATGATTGCCACAGACAGGCCACAGATGACTGGTAATGGTCTGAGGCAAGCTAAGCCCAGTCCAATTCCTATATTTAGCTGCTACAGTGCAGCAACGGGACACAGTTGTTCATTCGTGAAGTTGCGGAAGCGCTGCAGCTTGTGTGACCAAGCGACTTGGCAAGACAACGCTCGAAGAAGAAGGGAGCGTCAAAGACGGCCATAGCTAGGGTAGTGATAGGGAAGCAGGGCGGCCATAGCCGCAAAGGTTGGAGTCTGATCTGAGCGGGTGTATCCAGGGCACGATCCAAAGGAAAGAGAGAGAGACTGTGAGGTTGAGTGGTACAAGACCTGTGTGTGTGTGTGTGTGTGAGAGAGAGAGAGAGAGAGAGAGAGAGAGAGAGAGAGAGAGAGAGAGAGAGAGAGAGAGAGAGAGAGAGAGAG